CTTTGGTTGCTTTTTCTCAGCTTCCTATTAGGAAAAAAAAAAATCCCTTGAAAAACACAAACAGCAAAGAGGTGAGGGAGGGTATATGAAGGATGGATTGCACCAGGCATGCCTGTGGGGAAAGGGGGACAGGGGGAGGTTCTCAGGCTGGAGGCCGCTACTGCCCCTGCAGTCCCATCACCCTTCACTGTGGGAGAAGCAACTACAAGAGGGGCTGTCCTTCAGTGCATAGGGTGGGAACAGCACTTTACAAAAAATGGCCTGCGTCTTAGCATTTCACTTATTCTACTGACTGAGGGAGGAGCACGACTAACTTCATTGGGACTTTGCATGAGCCATTTCCCACTTCTGGGACTCTGGTTTATCTATAAAGGAATTGGCTTACCCGCCTCTCACATGCTGACTCCCAAATTAACCAACCAAAGGGGTCTGTGCCACCCCCACCCTGAGTCTTCATTGCCAAGGAAACCAGTTCTCCCACTGCCCAGATGCTCAGGGGATAGAGAACAAATTCATGAACACCCAGGGCTGGAGGAGAGAGAGACAGAGAGAGAGAGAGAGAGAGAGAGAGAGTGTCTGACCTCCACCCCAGGGTATTTCAGGCCTCAATGTGCAAAAATAACCTGAGGAGTCTGGAGGTGTCAGCAAAACATAGACCTGACCCCACTCTTGGTCTACGGGGATATAAAGGCCAGGCAAAACTAAGGGGTTGGAGGATGAGTATTAGAACAAGCTCTTCCAATCTGGACATCCTGTACAGTACACAAACATCTCCCAGGTGGGTGCCAGGGCCTGGTGACTCAAACACAGGGACCCGAAGACCAAGATGCAACTGCTAGGCTCAGAAGCTCTCCATAGGGAAAGGATCAGACAACTAGCAGTGAGGAACTTCAATGATATTATTTGGTAAGCGCAGTCACAAAGGGCTGCTCCTTCATGGTGAGCAGGTTGGTGAGAGGTGAGGAATGTGGTTTTAAATACCTGATGAGCAGTTAGCTTTTGCACAAAGGGAAAAAAATGTCCCAGCCACAGATAGACTCCTAACCACAGCTAAGGGCTGTCAGCCACAGAATGAACCCAAATGACAGTGACAAAGAAACCCTTAATCCAGGTACAACTGACAGGTTCACCACCAACCACAAAAGGGTTTAAACCCAGCCGGGGATTTAGCTCAGTGGTTCTGCCACCTGCCTCGAAAGCCCAAGGTCCCGAGTTCGACCCCCAGTACCAAAAAAAAGGGGGGGTTCAAACCCAGACTGAATCCTTAGGACAAACCTTTGCGTTCTTCCTCTGAGCTTGCCCTTGAGGCCTGGACAGAAATGTCACAGCAAGGAAATTCCTGAACTGAGTTCAAAGAAGAAAAAGACAGAGGACATGGGGCAGAAGATGCCTTCTGAAGATTGTGATTGCTCATCTGCTCTGGGCTTACCTAAGGCCCCCTAGCCCCAGGATGGACAGAGCAGAGCAGACTCCTGATCACCCTTACCCTGTGTCCTCTTGTACCCTCTGCCTTCCTCCTTTCAATATGTCTACACACTCAGGTCTGCCTATCTTTTGAGGTCGGTCTACATCTTTTGACTTTTTCACCACCTCCTCAGCACTCGGCAACTGCTGCCCCCCACACACATCCCATCCCTTTCCAAGACTGGTCTCAATTACAACCCAGCAACTTCCAGCCCACTCTGCCCAGGGGCCCCTGTGCACTCTATGTCCTGCTCGGTCTCTCTGCAGCTGCTCATCTGGCTGCCCTTCCCTCCGTGCGAAATGCTGCTCCTACACATCTAGGTCCAACATCTAGACATCTAGCACCAGCCTTTACCTGGGAGAACACCTCAAGGTGCCACCCCAGGAACCTCTTGTCTTCTCACTCCACCCTTTCCCTGGAGAGCTTCAATTCCCTTCTCCAGGAGAACCGCTCCAAGAGCCTGACCTCCAGCCCAGGCCCTTCTTCTAAGCCTGGCCAGGAATACCCAGCTGCTCGCTACATGCTGTTCCTGTCTCAGGCATGTTCAACTCAGTGTTTACATCGTGACCTTTCTCCTCCTTCCTGGGCCACCTTTATCTCGGAGAACAGCTTTGCCAAGTCCAGTTGCTCTAAAACTGGGCCCATTCTTGCCTCTTCTTTCTCCTCAAATCCTCTTATGTCATCAATCTACTGCTTGGGAAATCTGGAACCAGACTACTTCCAAACAACCCCATTGGCACCTTGGGGTCAGGCCCTATCCTTTCCCCATGGATTCACATGCAGTAGACTCTCATGCATATCTTAATTTCCACTCTGTCCCTCCCACAGATTCTCCTCACAACACCTAGGGTAATTGCTCCAAAGTCCCATCATCTTCATCTCTGGCAAAATCTTCAATGACCTCAGTGCCCTTAATTAAGAAAAACTCTGAAATCTTTAGCAAAACTGTCAAGGGTCTGCTTGATCTGGTCCCTACCTACGGGCCCAGCCTCTTGGTCCCTAACTCCAGATGCTCTGGCCATTCTGGTGCCTTCTGCCTCCCACCTCCAGTTCCTCCACAACCTTCTTTCTCCTCAGAGCCCCATAGCTCAAGCCCACAGCAGTGCTTCTCAAGTTGCCATAGGCCTACAACTCACCTGGAAAGATAGCTAAAATGCAGATTCTGATTCAGTGGTCTGGAGTTGGGCCTGAGATTCTACTGTGATTGGAGGCGGGGGCGGGGGGGGGGGTGCTGGGGCTCAAACTCAGGGCCTCCTGCGTGCTAGGCAAGTGCTCTACCACTGAGCTACATCCTCAGCCTAAAGTTCTCCTTCCATAAGGAGGTCCCAGATGATGCAGGTGTGCCTGGTTTCTTGACCTCAGAATAGCAAGGATGTAGAATGTGCTTTTCCTTTCTGACTCCACCTTTGTCTAAGTCCTACACAACTCTCAGGGCTCACCTTAAATACCTTCTTCTCTCAAAGAAGCCCTACCTATCCTTCTCCAAGAGCAGGTTAAAGTACCCTCAAGCCCCAAATTTTTATTTTCACTGGGCTACAAGTGGCTTCTCCTTTGAACATGCACCAAATTAAACTGTCATGTTTCATTCTTGTTATATTTTCAACTTTTGGCTCCTAGGGAGACTATCAGCTCCAAGAGAGCTGGGAACCACAATATCTTGTTCAGTCAGAGGCCACCAGCATCCAGCCCTGGGCCTACCACATCATCATCATCAGGATTAGAAAGGTATTGGTCTTACCTACCCTGCATCTATGTCCCTTCTTCTCATGGTAGTGCTTTAACTTTCCCTTGAGGAGCCATGTCTCCCCTACTCTCAATTCTTACAGTTTAGGTCATGAAACCCAGGCCTGGCCAATAACAGCCTTCCATCTCTCTGGCCACAGTGACTGATTCAGAGATAGACACGTGACAAATCATCTTCCTCCCTGGGACTTTTGTTAGAAGTACTGAGGAAAAGATTCTTCTCTTTTCACCGGGGGTCAGCCAGTAGGAGTAGCTGTCACCATCCTGCTACCACAGAGACAAAGAATGAAACCAACACAACATCGGCAGGGGAAGAAGTAGATTTCATGGATGCAGCCGTGCCTGGCACCTAGATTTACAGTTACAGAGGCAAAAAATTTCCTTTACGCCTAAGCCAAAGTAAGTTATGTTTCAGTCACTTGTGACCAAGAGACCTGACTAATGAAACATTTAGATAAATTTTGGGTGTTGAATGAATTAAATGAGTGTGTGAGTAAAGCCTGCCAAGAGCACTCCGAGACTCCTCCTGGTTTTTCAAGCTCTCCCTTCGAATTCCCACCATCCCAGCACAAACAAGCTTCCCACACCCAACTTTGAGATCACAGGCCAAAACTCAGAATAGAAACATGCTCCTCAGCTTCACCCTGTGCACACAAGCAACCCCTGCAGCTGGGTCAGATACCAGCACCAGCGCTAGAGTGGTGAATGACCTGGCTTTCAGGGCCTCCGGGTGCCCCACCAGGAGGAGAGTAGAGCTGTCCTCTGTTAGCACTGTGTCTCATCCTACCCTGTGTCCACCACTGAACACCAAACCCAATCAGGGCAGGCTCTGCTGCCTTTGCACATACTCCCTCCTGGTGAATGTAATGTGGCTTTGCAAGGTGAGCATCCAACATGGGATTTTTTTACCTTCTTCCTTTTCAGGTGTCAACTTGAAATAGATTAGGCCAGGGAAGCAGGGGAATAACATGGAGCAGCAGGGAAGAGATGTCTAATTCTTTCCTTGTAAGTCACCTCAGACCAGAGCCTTTGGACAGGGTCTAGATGTCCCTTTAGATGATTCAGGAAGCAAATGGCTTCTTCAGAGCCAGTCCCCATCGAACAAAGTATGAAACAGGGGAGCAGGTACAGGCAGGAAAATGGCTGAGCTAAAAGTCCTCCCTGAGGGCCAGAACAGGTGTATGTGGTCATCCTGCCCAGGGGACGAACAAGTGAGAGGACAGGTGTGGTAGGGGGAAATGACTCTCCCCTTTTGAGGAAGGGGAGGGTCCTCGGCCTCCTGGGATGGGATCCCCAGAAAAGAGCCTTATGAGTAAAGCACTGATAGAAAAAGAATTACTGGTCCCCCCAGAGCCTCCAGGGCAACTCTCCCACAGGGACTGGGGTGGAAGGGCTATCCCAGCCAGTCAGAGCCAGGTAAACCAGCCTGCAAGTGCTGCTCAAGTTCCGGGAGGGCCCACCTCCAGCCCCAGACAATCGTGGGCAGCAGCCCCTTCTCTTCCTCTGGCGTGGAGCCCTTGCTCCTGGTGGCTCCTGGCCCCTGCTCCTACCAAGCCCATTTCAGCCCCAGTCTCTCCTCACTACCTCTTGACACAAACGCCCCTGAGCCTCAATCACACTTTCCTCCTGCACTGGCAAGCTTAATTAGAGACACTGCCTCTAGAGGTGTCAGGCCCTCTACATAGCCCCCTGGGGTGGAAGCAGCTGGGCCGGGAGCCAAAAACAACAGCAAGGCTTCGAGGCTTTCCCTCACATGCCCTCCCTCCCAGCCTGTCGACTCTTACCCTCTTACCTTCATGGTGGGGGGTGCAGTGAGTGGAGGGGACAGTGGCTGGTCTGGGAGGGTCACATCCGAGCTGTTGGCCAGCTCCTGCTTCCTGTGAAGAGACCAAAGAACACAGAAGCAGTGAGCAAGAGCCTTCCTGTGCCTTTCCTATCTGCTCTAAGGGTGGGTGGGCTTGGGGAAACAGCTTAACACACAGTGCAGAAAACTAGAGCAGGCTACGTTTCCTTACTGACATGTACCAGCATCTACAGCATGCCACTCTAAGGGTGGTCCCTGGGCCACCAGCATCCTCTGGGAACTTTTCAGAAATGCAAGTTCTCAGGTGCATGCCAGACTCTCCAGAAGTGAAGCCCAAGAATCTGTTTAGAAAGCTTACAGGTAACTCTAGTGCACCTGAAATCTCAGAACCATGGATCTAAAGAGACATAAGACTGGGTCAGGGAGGGAAGACAAGGGACTAGGGGTCAACGTGTGAGATGCATTCTCTCTTGGGCCCCTCTGACCACACACACACACACACACACACACACACACACACACACACACACGCACACACACACGCACACTGACCTTGGGATGCCAGGGCTACCTGCTGTGTGAGCAGCAGGTAAGACTTATTTTAGTCCATGTGGGCTAGGACCCAGGAGAGGCAGCTAAACAGAGTTGTGTCACCATGGCAACATGACTGGGACAAGCTCGCCACACTCACACACTCCCCACTTCCCATCTGGCCCTTTTGCTGGTGACCAGGAAGAGCTTGTTTGCTGTCCCATCATCAGGCAGACTGTTCGGGGTGGGAGAAAGCTCCAGAGTGAGTTATGCAAGAGGGCCAGCTGGCCAGAACCTGGGGAATCCCCAGCACAGGGACACTGGTGTCTGGGACATGCCTGGATATAGCCCAAGAGGGAACGGGAAGGCAAAGATAACAGTACTGAGAACCTACAAAGACCAGGCTAAGCCCTCAAAGCCCCCAGCTTTATAAGAGCCCCACCTTAAAGCAGCCAAGAGTCAGCCTCACACCTGTGTCCCATTTAAATGATCAAAGGATCCCACCACCACCACTGCCACCTGGAGGGAATGCTTCTGTACCTATTTCCAGCCCACGTCCTGTCAGTGGAGGTGACAACTCCAACCGAAGCTCTCTTCATGAGAGAAGCCCCCATTCCCTACAGAAAGCCAGGAGGAGGAAGGGAAGGAAGAAAGGAAGGATATCGAGGATGGCAGCACTACCCACAGGTCCCCTAAGGTGAGGACAAGGGCATCTTTCCTGTGGGTCTGAAAGTCTAGTAGGAAAAATCAAGCAAAGAGGGGAGGGAAGGGAATCCCCCTCCCAGACCTGTGGCCCCTGGCCCATTCCTCTGGAGATAGCTTGTAAACACCCTGATCAGCAGCAGCTCTGGCTCTCCAGGAACCCATAGAGGAGGGCAATGCTGGCAAGTTTTTAATATCACCAATCAAGGGACATTCATACACAGTCATGCTGTATGGTTTTGTGTCCACATCCAGGGGACCACAGCAGATGTGATTACTGTCCAAGGACTGTAAGTCCTGGAAAAAAAGGTCCCCAACCCCAACCCTCCCTGGTCTGAGACCCTCTCCACTGTGTCGGCTTATTTCCAGAATCCAGGACTCATCCCTAGGGAGTAGTTAGAACCATCAAGTAGGAACACAAGGCAGTTTCAAGTCAGAATAATTTTCCAAGTGATACCTGGGAGCAGAAATGAACACCCAAGGTTAACAGACTCATAGTAGCCCCAGCACTGTGTCCTGGACTCCAGAGAGGAAGCCCAGGTAGGCAGAAGGCTTGGATGGCTGCAGCCCTCAAAAAGATCAGAACTCAGAGTACATACACATCAACCCTTGGCTGCAAATTATAGAGTCCACCTTGCCTTGGTATACACAGGGCTCTGGGTAATACCTACACGAGCCGCACTGTACCATCACCAGCTCTCCCCCCTATTTAAGAGCTGACCACCTTATGAGAAGAAAAGGTAACCATGTAAAGACATAGACAAATGGAGAACCCCATGTGACAATGGAGGCAGAAATCAGAGTGATGTGGCTGCAAGCAAAGGAATGCCAAGGATTGCCGGCACTGCCAGAAGCTAGAAGAGACAAGGAAGGATGTTTCCCCAGAACCTTCTGAGAGCACATGGGCCTGGTAACATACTGATCTTGGACTTCTGAGCCAATAAACATCTGTTTCTTTAACCCACCTAGTTTTTGCACTTGGTAATGGCAGCTCTAGGAAAGCCATACACAGCCCAGGTCTCTGGCTCTAGCCTTGGCCTTGTAACTGGAGAACCAGATGCAAGATGAAATCCCTGCTCCTGCCTCACCATCCCTGCTCTGATCAGCTGTGCTTGACCTTGTCCTGCCCCAGTCCTCACCAGAATAACATGTGCATGTGAGCCACCCTGCCCCCAAGGACAGCCAGACCTGACCCAGCTACCAGCTGGTACACAGATAAGAAAATTAAAAAAAAAAAAAAAAAAAGAAAGATAAGATAGAGTAAGACCCAGCACTCACTGTAATTCCAGCCCTTTCTTTCCCACCTAGGCAAACATATCACATATGTGTAGTTCAAAGTGATATGGTTATATCAAGGATAACCTTGACTCTGTTTTCATTTATATAAGCAGAGGTGACAACTTTCTTGTGAATCACAGTAATCTTGCCATGTGCCATGGCCCTGAGATCAATCCAGCCATAAAGTGCTCTAATACACAGGGTCCCAGACCCACGGGGACCCACAGGGACCCATAAGAGGAGGTGTTGGTGATAGAGACAACCTTGGAAGAAGGAAAAGGAGGATGGAGAAGGCAGAGGGAAAGGAAGACTATCCGCTCCACTGGAAAAGAAGGGAGTAGGGCAGCTGAATGGGAAAGTCCAAAGAGCCTCCTTCCTCCACCTGGGGTCCCAGACATGCTCCCCACTCAGCATCTCTGCTGCCCGGAGTTTCAAAGCGATGGGGTCCCCCACCCTGGGAATTTGTCCCTGGAAGCATGAGAGATTTCAGGGCAGAGGGGAGGGCTCAGGGAGGCCAGGAGTGGTTTCAGCTAGCCTCAGCCAAATGCAGCTCCAGCAGGAAAAGATCAAAGGGCCTTGGAGTGGAAGACAGTTCACCTAAACTAAACAGGGCTGGTTCATCAGACAGGGCTGGGCGGATCACAGGAGTGGTCCTATGATGGCACCCAGACCTCCAGGGTCCTTGCCTCCACCTTCAGGTGGCTCTGCCCCAGACCCTCAAGGTCATGCAACTATCCACCAACACTCGCAAATTCCTGTGGCGAGCACCCTACACCAGGAACCAAGAGATTCCTGGGTTCAGGGTCTGTTCTACCTGCTACTCTACTGTATGACCTTGGTTAAGTTACTTCACGTCTCTGTGCCTCAGTTCCTTCACCTGCAAAGAGGCGGGCAACAATGTTCTGAGGATCAAAAGTAATGGCTATGAAATAAAACATGAAGTCCTATTACAATGTAGCCTGTAATGATCATATGACTTAGAAAATGGTGATCTGGTCTCCATGGGGAGACTGAGAAGCCAAGGTGCAGAGCTGTTTAAGTATCTTGGAAAACATTCCTGGCATCTCAAATAAGCACCAATTCTAACCCTGGGGATTTACTTGTAGGACCATAACCTCTAGTTAATAATCAACAGCAGGAAAAACACCTACCTAGCAGCAGATGGCTCTGGGGCCAGGTGTAAGGCCTCCCTCTGGCACAGAGTTCTGGGAAACCTGCAAACTCCACTTTCCTGCATCTCTCACCACCCCACTGCCCCAACCACACACAGCTTTTGCCTTCCAAGCAGCCAAACTAGAAGAGTACAGACAGCTGAATGCTGTAAAGAGCTTGGGGGGGTGGGGGGGGTGAAAAATGTGAGTCACAGTAGCCAAAAGGTGGAAACAACCCAAACATCCATCAACCAACAAATCCAATCATTCCATACAATGGAATATGTTCAGTCATAAAAAGAGATGAAGTAATCATACACGCTACAACTTAGATGAACCTTGAAAACACACACGGGAAAAAGGATGGGCACAAAGGGCCACATATTATATGATTCCCATTTGTGTGAAAAGTCCAAAACAGGAAATCCAGAAATAAAAAGTAGATTACCAGGGACCGGGGATTTAGCTCAGTAGTTCCAGCACCTGCCGCGCAAGTGTAAGGTCCCAAGTTCCATCCCAGTACCAAAAAAAAAAAAAAAAAAGTTGCTAGAGGGCTTGAGGGAGGAGGGAACAGGGACTACCTGCTATTAGGTCAGAGGTTTTTTTTGAGGTGATAAAAATGTTCTGGAACTAGACCGTGGTAATGGTTGCACAATGTTGTGAGTATATTAAAACCTACTCAAACATTTATATTATATTATATTATATTATATTATATTATATTATATTATATTATATTACAGAAGGACGGATTCTATGATATATGAATTATATCTCAGTTCTTGAAGAAAGAACAAAGGGGGGTCAAATGGACTCCATCTGTCATTCCTGCTTCTTAGTTTCCTCTCCTGCTGCCTGCTGGTGTCCCCAAGGGCTCAAGTGATGCACATTCTTGCTTTGTGGCCATGGCAGTGACGGCTCAAAGTGCTGAGCAGGGCTTCCTTTCCACCCCAGCCTGTTGAAAGCCACACTTCTCTGCCCCACACCCAACACTCTAAAGTACCTGCAGCACAGCCACCCATATGGAAACATTTTACACTTCTAACTTTGCCCATTTCCCATCCTATATGACCAACTAGACTGGACACAATAGTGCAAAAAAATAAAAAATGAAATGCTTCAAGAGAAATCATCATGGGCCGGGGATTTAGCTCAGTGGTTTCACCATCTGCCTTGCAAGCGCAAGGTCCCAAGTTCAATCCCCAGTACCAAAAAATCAAAGAGAGAGAGAAATCATCATGAGAAACAGACATAATGAGAGAAGTCGGGACTAGTTCTAACCAGCTAATGCTGATGAGCTGGACCCTCACAATCGTGAGTCTGCTTTCCTCTCTACAAAAGGGGCAAGCTGCCTCCCATCTCCTAATCCCTCTACAACTCCTCAACATGACTCATGTCTTAGTTCTCATGG